GTTGTATCTTCAAACATTCTATGTACCGATAAAACCCATGCTTGCCTTCTGTGTTGTATCCTCAAACATTCTATGTACAGATACAACCCATGCTTTCCTTCTGTGTTGTACCCTCAAACATTCTATGTACAGATACAACCCGTGCTTTCCTTCTGTGTTGTATCCTCAAACATTCTATGTACAGATACAACCCATGCTTGCCTTCTGTGTTGTATCCTCAAACATTCTATGTACAGATACAACCCATGCTTTCCTTCTGTGTTGTATCCTCAAACATTCTATGTACAGATACAACCCATGCTTGCCTTCTGTGTTGTACCCTCAAACATTCTATGTACAGATACAACCCATGCTTTCCTTCTGTGTTGTACCCTCAGACATTCTGTGTAGAGATAAAACCTGTCCTTGCCTTCTGTGTTGTACCCTCAAACATTCTATGTACAGATACAACCCATGCTTTCCTTCTGTGTTGTACCCTCAAACATTCTATGTACAGATAAAACCCATGCTTGCCTTCTGTGTTGTACCCTCAAACATTCTATGTACAGATACAACCCATGCTTGCCTTCTGTGTTGTACCCTCAAACATTCTATGTACAGATAAAAGCCATGCTTGCCTTCTGTGTTGTACCCTCAAACATTCTATGTACAGATACAACCCGTGCTTGCCTTCTGTGTTGTATCCTCAAACATTCTGTGTACAGATACAACCCGTGCTTGCCTTCTGTGTTGTACCCTCAAACATTCTATGTACAGATACAACCCATGCTTGCCTTCTGTGTTGTACCCTCAAACATTCTGTGTACAGATACAACACATGCTTTCCTTCTGTGTTGTACCCTCAAACATTCTATGTACAGATACAACCCATGCTTTCCTTCTGTGTTGTATCCTCAAACATTCTGTGTACAGATAAAACCTATGCTTGCCTTCTGTATTGTATCCTCAAACATTCTATGTACAGATACAACCCATGCTTTCCTTCTGTGTTGTACCCTCAAACATTCTATGTACAGATACAACCCATGCTTGCCTTCTGTGTTGTACCCTCAAACATTCTATGTACAGAGAAAACCTATGCTTTCCTTCTGTGTTGTACCCTCAAACATTCTATGTACAGATACAACCCATGCTTTCCTTCTGTGTTGTATCCTCAAACATTCTATGTACAGATACAACCCATGCTTGCCTTCTGTGTTGTACCCTCAAACATTCTATGTACAGATACAACCCATGCTTTCCTTCTGTGTTGTATCCTCAAACATTCTATGTACAGATACAACCCATGCTTTCCTTCTGTGTTGTATCCTCAAACATTCTGTGTACATAAAAAAACCCATGCTTGCCTTCTGTGTTGTACCCTCAAACATTCTATGTACAGATACAACCCATGCTTTCCTTCTGTGTTGTACCCTCAAACATTCTATGTACAGATACAACCCATGCTTGCCTTCTGTGTTGTATCCTCAAACATTCTATGTACAGATACAACCCATGCTTTCCTTCTGTGTTGTACCCTCAAACATTCTATGTACAGATACAACCCATGCTTTCCTTCTGCGTTGTATCCTCAAACATTCTATGTACAGATAAAACCCATGCTTGCCTTCTGTGTTGTACCCTCAAACATTCTATGTACAGATACAACCCATGCTTTCCTTCTGTGTTGTACCCTCAAACATTCTATGTACAGATACAACCCATGCTTTCCTTCTGTGTTGTACCCTCAAACATTCTATGTACAGATACAACCCATGCTTTCCTTCTGTGTTGTACCCTCAAACATTCTATGTACAGATACAACCCATGCTTGCCTTCTGTGTTGTACCCTCAAACATTCTATGTACAGATACAACCCATGCTTGCCTTCTGTGTTGTACCCTCAAACATTCTATGTACAGATACAACCCATGGTTGCCTTCTGTGTTGTACCCTCAAACATTCTATGTACAGATACAACCCGTGCTTGCCTTCTGTGTTGTATCCTCAAACATTCTATGTACAGATACAACCCATGCTTTCCTTCTGTGTTGTACCCTAAAACCTTCTATGTACAGATACAACCCATGCTTTCCTTCTGTGTTGTACCCTAAAACCTTCTATGTACAGATACAACCCATGCGTGCCATAAAAGGCGACTATGCTTGTAGTAGGAGGCAACTAATGAGATCGGGTGGTCAGGCTCGCTGACTTGGTTGATGCATGTCATCGATCCCAATTGCGTGGATCGATGCTCATGATGTCAATCACTGGATTGTCTGGTCCAGACTCGACTATTTACAGACCGCCGTCATATAGCTGGAATATTGCTGAATGCGGCGTTAAACAACAAACAAACAAAACAAAAACTATGTACAGATACCTCACTCACAAGCAGGCAGCTGGGCTGCGCCTTTGATATCGCCTCCAAAAGATGTAGTAGAATGAACTAACGTCGGGGGGTGTTATTTTTATGAAGTTATACCTTTGCGGCATATGACTAACGTTTATTGTCATGTGTGCTATGACTAGAATAAGAAATTCAAGCTCAGTTACCGCGCTATAGCGCTACCGCTGTCTCGCTATACCGTCACCCAGGCGATCCAATACCGAGAGAGGGAAATGTTTATTTAAGTGTCACGTGCATATCATATGATAAAATACAAAATGTACATTCATAGAATTATAAAAAAGCACCCGGCCATATGGCCTATGAGACACTATAATCTAAAATATCACAGAACAACAATAAGTTAAGAAAGTACAAATGACAAACAGTACATACATTCAATATATAATTAAAACATGACTTATACCAAAACCTTTATGAGAACAATCATAAAGGTCTATCAACAACATAGATTCTCGCACAAACATGCATTCAGTCGAACGCATTCACACACATACATACACGCATACACACACATACATACACGCATACACACACACAACATACACATAGACACACAGACACACAGACCACACACACACACACACACACACACACACACACACACACACACACACACACACACACACACACACACACACACACACACACAAACATACATACATACATACATACATTCTAGGGGGCAGAGAGGACAGATTCTGTCATGAAGTGGAATAGGCGGCTTAGAATATCTGCCTGTCTCTACACACAGAGGCAGACTGCAGGCTCTCAGTCGTATGAAGGACTTGCGGTGGTGTCAAGACATTGTATTGGTTACATAAGCTTCTGGGCACAGGTCTTTCTTAAACATGCGATAAGTCCTAAGTTTATTTCCGTTTGTTAAATTTCCTTTATCGTCCCATAGGTCAGTAAACCACTTCTGTTCACCCTGAATGTTCAGCTGCTTGCGAATAAGTTGTACAGTGGATTTAAAATTAACTGCGGTTACGTATTGCTCAAGTCCCAAGGCTTTACTCAGCTTCTGCACTCGGTGTTCCCAGGATCTCTTCCGGTTGAGTTACGACTTATGTATCTTGTTAGGTAGTCTGGATTCGTGCAGGTCACATGCTAAGAACGATGAGAACTTTGTTAAATATAAAGAAGCAAAGCGTAGTTTTAGAAGACAGCATCGTAGATCCAAACAATCGCTCATAGATAGCAGACTGAAAGAACTCTATGAGGCAGCTGAAATAGATGTACATGAATACTTTAAAACTGCAAAACGATATCACAAAACTAAGGGCCAAGTACACAAACTTCTTTATAAATGTAATCAAAGTAGTAACGCGGAAGGTATTTGTGGAATCTTTGGTAAATACTTTAGAGACTTGTCAATCCCAACCATGGAAAGTCATTTTGACTGCTCTTTTGCTGATGAAGTAATATGCTCAGTCAAAAATATTGAAAACAACGAAACATCTGATGCTGATAACGATGTAACTGCTAACCATTCATTGAAGAGACCATTCACCATTGCAGAGGTAGTAAGTACAGTTAAAGGACTGAAAAACAATAAATCTCCAGGACCTGATGGGCTCACAAACGAACATATTAAGTATGCGGGAAGATCTTTATTAAAGCATATTATGGTATTATTCAATGCTATCATTAAACATGAATATATACCCAAAATGTATCATATTGGCGAAATCTTACCAGTACATAAGGGACGAGGAAAAAGTAAAAGTGATCCATCTAACTACAAGGGCATAACACTAACTTCAGTCCAAAGTAAGCTTTTCGAAAGAATGCTTCTCATCAGAATCGAAAAATGGACAAGCGACGATGTAGCCTTCCCTCACCCACTACAGTTTGGATTTAGAAAAAATGCTGGTGCTGAAACGGCGGCTCTCACTCTTCTAGAAAGTATTTCATACTTTAACGAAAGAAACTCACCAGTTTATTGTTCCTTCCTCGATAACGAGAAAGCCTTCGATAGTGTTTGGCTTGACGGTCTCTTCTTCAAATTACATAAATTTGGTATCAATGGTAAATTATGGAGAATTCTACGTTTATCTTACAATTCTATGTACTCATGTGTTAGCTTTGCCGGCTTCAAATCCGATGTTTTCCCTGTTAAACAGGGTGTTGGTCAGGGTCGTGTCATATCACCATAGCTCTTTACTCTTTATATAAACGATTTGCTTCATGAACTAAGCAATTCCGGTTGTGGACTATGTCTCCCTTTGGGACGATATCCAGGAATACTGTTAGCAGACGACACGACCTTGATCAGCTGTAACACAACAGGTCTTCAAATGCTCCTAAACGTAGCAGAAAATTATGGTGACAGTTAAAATACAATGTGTTCAAAAGTGCTGTCCTAACTTTTGGATGTAGTAAAAAAACAGTGTCGCCTGAACATCTTTACATTGGTAAGATAAAATTACCTGTTCAAAAGGCAATTTTCTATGCGGGAGTGTACATAAGTACTGCTAAAACTTCGGTAGAAAGAACGAGGTTAGCATGTGAAAAACTGAGAAAATTGATAAAGGTAAACCATGATTCTGGCCTGTACTTTGGTGGACTTAATCCTATAGCCGCCGTGCGCATCTGGCAACGAATGATATTACCCTGTGGCTTACATGGATGTAATGTGTGGGGAAAACTATCCTTAAAGGAATATGAAATGCTAGAAATCACTCAACGCTATTTCTGTAAGAAAACCCAGGGTTTTAATAAGCGTATGCCCAAAGAAATAGAGAGAGACACAATTGGTGTTATATCAGTACAAGGATACATTGATCAACAAAAGCTTTTGCTCCTTGGTAAGCTATGTAATTCAAACCTAATGTATATCTTCAAACAAATGTTTCCAGCCCGACTTGGACAGTTTAGATATAAAACAACACTAGTTAATAAGAACAAGTGGGACACGAAATCACCCATCTTTAAGCATGCTACATCTTGTCTCCAAATATTATTTATCTGACGAGGTCAATGATTATATAATGTGTTCAAATTTCATCAAGAAACGATTATGGTCAAAACTGGTGAAAGAAAAGATTCACCTACACGAAAAACAATTACTAAACAATGCGCTTCTGAGCAGATTATCTCTGTCAAGATATCTAACAATACGATCTGGACGAGAACATAGGTTATGGAAACTTGCTCTCGATAGACCAGAATATTTTACTTCCTTAGCTAGACTAGTTTGCTTAGGTTCAATGCCAATAGAATCAAAGGAATGTATTTGTGGAACAGTTGCGAATGATATAGTGAAACACGTTTTCAGGTCATGTCAAAAGAATTTAGAAGAAAGAAATATCATATTTGATAAAATCATTGATTTGCTTGATGTTAAAATATTTGTGAGAATCTGGGCAGACGATGACACCTTTCTGACTTTTCTGCTTGGCGGTTTACCTGAACAACTTGAAGTAGAATTAGACTACAATGTATGGGCAGAGAGCATGATAAATATTGGTGGTGCAGTTAAAAAGTGGGATGAAGTCATCCGAAGCTGCTTATACTAAACAATGTATGTATTGTAAACAAGTGTACATTTGTAAATAACACATGCTAATTGTCCATCTAATAACACAAATAATCAATACGATACATATGTATATGAACTACTTCTAACATATATGTAATATATATATGTATGTGTGTGTGCACATTTCTACTATAGATGTTGTCCTTTCACGGTATACCTTGTACTCTTCATGAAATGGAGGAAATAAAGAAGATCTATCTATCTCCTCTCGTAGCGATGTTCGAAGTTTCACAACTGGCTCCAAGGACAAAGCGACACGCTCTGTTTTGGATTGTGTTAAGGCATTTGTGTTCATAAAGTCCCCAAATACCTGCCCCATACGTCAGAATAGGCTGGATCAAAGAATTATAGAGGGCAGTTAGTACCTCTTAGGCCATTCCAACTGCATCACAAAACTTGGTGAAAAGTGCACTCAGAGCTCTGCCTGCCGATTTTGTCAACTGGTTGACCGCTGGCTTGAAGTCCAAATGTTCATGGAACCAGAGACCGAGGTATTTGTAGGACTGCGTGTACTTCAATGTAATGTCACCACATTTAAACGTTACTTTGGAGCATTCTCGCTTGCCTGGTCTGAAGTGAACGATTTGAGACTTCTCACCATTAAGCTCCAATCTCCACTTAAAACACCATTCATGAACTTTGTCGAGCATCATTTGTAAATATTCTTCTGTCGGTGCAAGTAACACTATGTCGTCTGCATAGAGAAGAATACTTATATTCGCATTCAACACCACAGTTCAAGTTCTTAATACTGCGAGCAAGGTCATCAATATAAATGGCAAAAAGGGTTGGTGAGAGAAGGCATCCTTGCTTAACACCATTTGGTACTTTAAACCATGGAGTTAAAGAGTCGTTTACCTGAACAGCACAATTGACCCCTTCGTATAGAGATTGAATTGCTTTCAACATTGGTCCTCCAATACCTGACATTTTCAATTTATACCATAAGCAGTCTCTGCTTACGTTGCCAAACGCTTTTTTCATGTCCATGAGACAGGCGAAAGTAGATTGGTCAGAGCATCTCCTGTTGTTGAGAATCTCATACAGGCTGTATATATGGTCCATGCAGCTACGTTGCTTCCTGAAGCCATTTTGCTCCTCAGCTAACAAGTGATGATCTTCGATGAAGGCTGATAATCTGTGGTTTAAAATGTCACAATATACCTTGCATGGGACTGAAATCAAGCAAATACCTCTGTATGTTAGTGGTTGCCGAACATTAGTGGTGCCGGGTTTAACGATCGGGTTGATAATTCCAGATTTCCAAGACTCAGGAACACATCCGCTCTCGAAACAGTATTCGATCAACCTATGGAGAATGTCAATACAAACATCGTTCTTAATTGCTTCAGCTGGTATAGAGTCAATGCCTGCAACTTTTTTGAGTTTACAACGGAAAACAGCAGCCTTGACTTCATCCCGAGTTTTCTCACGGTTGATGGCTGTTATGTCATCACGGACCGTTGTGACGTCATCCGTCGTCAAAGAGTTACGTACAAACGACAGGTGTGTATCATCAAAGGACATTGTGTTGGTATTGTCGTTGTAGAGCACTTCGTAGTCATCTCTTCATCTTTTCATGACGAGTTCAGGGTCGGTTATTACGGTACCATCATCGTTAGCAACTTCCATGGGAATACGGACTTTGCGATCGTTTCCAATTCCAATTTTACCAAAGGATTTCCAAAATACTGAGGAATTACAATGCTGTAGTTGCTCCAGTAAAACACTCTGTTCTTTTAGCTGGTATGATTTTTTAACCTTTCTATGCAACTTGTCAAAGTGGGTTCTCTGACTACAGTATAGTCTACGTAGGTTCCGTTTCTGTCCCTGGTTGTTAGCTCGTCGCCACTGACGTTCCAATTGACACACTTTATTCTACTTGAGTTGTAACTCCTGATTCCAATACGGTTTACCGGTGCATTTGTGTCGTTTAGTAGCATTAGGTGATTTCGAGTTCGTGAAGCAGAAAAAATCAAGACTCTTGGTAATAATTATAAGAGACACAAATTCAACGTATGCTGAGTTGATATCTCTCTGTGTAGACAGACAATCTTCTATACGCTGTATGGCAGCCACTACAACCTCGGAGTTCCCATCCTGTAGAAAAACACCTGGGATATCTTTCACGTTGAAGCGCCGTATATGCTCTCTCGCTGTAGGTTGAGTGTCCTTGTCTCCACTGTCAGCGAACACAGGTACATCAGTGACCCACTCAATGATGGAGTGATCAGGTATAGCATGTCGTACTACTAATTGCCTTTTCACAGATTGAATCACTCATACACACCACAGAGAAATCAGTATACAGGGGTAATTGTTCGTGGGGCACAAACACGTAGTCAATTACAGACTTACCACGCGTCGATACGTACGTGAAATCGTTCTTGCCGATGCGACCATTTAACATCCACATATTGCAGTCTACAAGAAAGTCTATCATCTCTTGTCCTTGTACATTACATGGCAGGGGGTAGGTAACACACACAGTATATGTAGGTTGCGCTCTTATTGCTCAGCTTTATCCACAGAATCCCTTCATATGTATGGTTAAGTACAGAACAGTCATAAAAATCAAGAAGTGTTTCCTTAACTAAAAACCCAACCCAACCTGATCCCCTTTTAGCATGTTTATCGAATGTCATTCTGTTATGCCCTATCCACTTGTAGCCATCTACTGTGATTTTCTCATCATCACGTAAAAAAGTCTCACACAACCCTATAATATCCTGACAATAAGACATCGTTTCTAAAGTTCGAATTATCATTGTCTTTCAAAGACCACCCACCACAGTTCCAACAACTCAGTCTAAGACGCCTGGTGTCCTATTGTCTCCCATTCCTGATGAGACGGGTACCACGTACATGGTACTCTTTGTCCTTACCCATCTCTCTCACCAGGGTACGGAGAGATGCCTCAGTGTTTCGAACATCATACGGTAAATCATTCTCAATAAACACATTCGGGAATGATCTTTTGTCTTTTAATTTTATTTTATCTTTCAAAATCTGTATCTTCTGCTCGACGGACTGGACCCTGGCGACGATGACCCCTGGTCTAGATCCCCTGCCCAGCTTCCTCACCGCACTCACCACCTTCACGTCTCGGAGCTGGAGTCCGTCTCGCCCCACACACTGCACTTTGTTTACACTCACGTTTTCATCACTAACTTCGTTTTCATCAAACTTAAGATTTTTCACAACAAACGTCGCAGATTGAGAAGAATCTTGTTTTACGACAGAAGCATAAGTCTTTTCAATCCCCAGGACTCTATCAGTAAGTTTGTCGATGTGAGACTGAAACACATCTCTCACTGCAGTAATCTCAGTCCTGAATGCAATCATAACTTGCTCCATCATTCGTGCCTCCATTTTACACATTCTGTCATCGAAATAGCACTTTAAAGAGTTAATTGTATCAAGAATTTGCCTCGTATCTCTGCTATTATCAGAATCGTTACCAAGAGTAGAGTTACCTGCACATGCGGACGCATGGAGAAGTGTCTCTGTCTCGACCCGGGTGGGGACGGGAGCGGCCATTACACACTCGACAAAATCACAATCGCCCAACTCGTGGGTCGTCGTCTTCTGCTCTTTTACTAATTCTGGGGTGTTTTCGCCGGATTTTCTCTTTGTAGATGCGTCCTGATTCATTGTCGGGTGTCTATTTTCAACAGAGCTTCAGAAAAGTTCCTTTATATCGATATATTTTAAATAGTAGGAGAGCAAATGACAACACGACTTACTCAATCAGGGTAGGTAGCTCCACCTTCAATACTGATGACTTTACATAATAATATTTCTTAATAAACAAACATCTCACTTTTCTATAGAAAGGACAAATTAATACAAAGTGACATTCAGCTTCCACGTCGTCGATATTACATTTTATACATTTTCTCTCCCCCGTGCAATCCTATTACTACCATGTCCCCTAGTTTCAGGTCGGATAGCATGAGATGATAATCTCAATCTAGTAAGTGCGACTCTATGATTATAAATCAATACACTACTAATATACTTTTCTATTCCAAAGATTGGCTTAAACTGTTTATATAAAAGATATGACAATTCTCTTAATTCTCGATTCCACGGTGTTATATAATTATCTTATGATGCTGCCTCAGTACTTCACAAAAGGAAGAAACGTTTACGTTACAAGGTTAAATCCACACATGGTAATAGCCATTCTCTGACAATATAGACTTTACTATACCAGTTGTTCGTGTGACTACATACAGTCGTATACATGTCTTTTAATATACCAGTAGTATATTAAAGTATACACCTTAAACGAATATTTAACCATACATACTTGACGTTGGATATTCAATGGAAATTTCCCCAACTCCCCTTATATCTGCACATTACTAGTACTATCCTTTACACCCAAAATCAATTTACAAAATTTACGATGTACTCTCTTAATACAATCAGCTTTTTTCCAACCCCATACTTCACAACCATGATGTAATACTGGTAACACACATGTGTCAAATAGTTCTCAGGAAGATTTCACATCAATTTATTTTTTTATCACACTTATTCATATTATTACATGCCTTTAATCCCTTTTCGGATAACACTTTGATAGCTGGAGTAAGATTACCATTTGACACCAATAAAAATCCGAAATAATTAAACTGTTTTACTATTTCTAGAGAAACTGATTCATTTAAAAACTGTATGTCTAATGGTTGATATTATTTTCTGAAAATTACAACTTTAGTTTT